AATCGTAGTTGTCACATTGCAGGCGCTGATGCGCTCTCTTCGGCGCTGGTCGCGAGACTGTTCGGTCGACGATTTGCCGCATTCCAGCTACTGGAGGTCTCCAAAACTACCGCTGTGTATCCCGTCTGCTCACAGGTCGCCACGAACAGAAGCAATGCTTCACGTACAGCACGACACTCGATTCAGTGACCCCTGTTGTGACACCCACCGGCTACTCGCGAATGATGAGCGCCGAAGCTTGTAGAGCCCTTTTCAATTCGCGACGTGTCCATGCAGCTCTCAGGCAATGCCCAGTCATACTTGCACACAAACAAACGCCCGAAACATCGGCCGACGTTTTGATTTGCTGGTTGCAGATGTGATTGGCGCTCAAGTCCTACTCAGTCTGCGTCAAACGCGGTACAAGCTGTGCATAGAAAAGCTGATGACAGGCAAGCCCAGGCATGGGTCGAAACGACTCTTGCTTTCGTAGTAGATGCAGCTGATCGAAGTGACGACAGACCTTTAAACGCGTGACGCTAACGGGCATGAAGTCGTGGCGACAGTCATTGCAACGGGATCGACTCTACGTTTGCAGAGGCAGCAGACTGCAAATCACGGAGCACCAACTTGCATGCGAAGTGCTCGGAATGTCACCACGGGATGACACGTCTCTTCTTTATTCAGCTCATTCGATCGATGTGTCCCTTCGTGTTGCTGGATCTTCGCTGTGGGTTCATTGCTCTTGACTCTTCGATAGATGAGACCCGCTTGGTCTACGCGGGCAAAGCCGACGTATCGCAACCCACAACCCACTTACCTGTTCGCACAAAGGTTTGGCATGTATTCGCGGGATGGGGCTACTCTGCTCCGTTGTATCGTTGTATGGTACTAGAGATGATCCTATCGTAGAATCCACGCGTCGCTGAAGCACTTTCAACGCTTGAGCAGCGCCGGCGAAAGGATCATTCTGCATTTCACCGTAAACAGCACAAGTCAAGCCTCCAAATTTTGTCAAGATGAACATCAAGACCGTCCTCGCCACCGCTATCGTTGCTGTCGCCTCGATCTCAAGTCTCGCTGGAGCTGCCAGACCTTGCCCCCCGTCATGCAAACGAGGACCCATCAGGGGAAGTAATTCTTGCCGCGGCGGCATAGAGCCGATGGCGAATCCAGAGTGCTGCCAATGCGAGAGATAATCTGTTGTGTTCGTTTTCCGGCACTCGTTCACCAGGTCGTCGCAGGAAGCACCGTTCACGCATCACCATCCTCATCGCCATCATCCTGGTGGCCTCTCCACTAGCTTTCGACATAGTGTACTTCCACTGGTACGCCGCTGATTGTATCAATCATGGATTACTTAACTGAATGGAAAGAGGAGTCACTGCTTACCTTACGTCGTTGAGTGCCATTGCGTTCGTTGTCGATGTACCGCTTGCCATGTAGCCGTTCCTGTTCGAGCAGCTACTCTTCGCAAACATGCTTACCTCATGCGCAGCCCAACTTGCCTTAGGATAGATGGGCAACCAATTGACGGAGTATGATGCCTTACATCGTATGCACTCCCCCGATTGATAGTCTACACCAATAGCATCATCCTTTCTCAGGTGTTTGGCGTAACCCTTTAACTAGAGCAGCCCTTATTGTTCGTTGCTAATGATGGAGGAAAAGAAACCACCTGCTTTTTGGGCTGTGTCATAACATCGTGTGTTGCAACCACGACTGGTCTATCTATCTGCTAGGGCTGAGGCGGCCGTTTTCGGGTCTTTCTTTGTCCGCTTGGTACCGCCGCGTGGTATAAATCTCTATGAACCATCACATTGTCGTTTTTCAGGCTTTTCTTCGTCCGTTTGGTACCGCGTGGTATGTATCTGTGTGGACAATCGCAATGTCGTTAAAGAATCAGAAAAGAACCCCCGAACGTGTCTCCACTCTGTACGTATTGGTGTCGACCTCAAGAGACATACCGATCGTCGACGTCAACTCCAAGCAATCGATGGGATGCACTGGATGTTTCCGTAGCTCTCCACGACGGCGCGGTCGGTTGCTCGGCCGCAAGATTTTCGTCTCCATGTCTCGGTGTCGCGACATGGATCCGCCAAGCGAAATGTTGAGCTCCAAGCGCCGGCGTTGTTGACAGTAACGTCTGCGTACCCTCACTGATAGCGTGCATTGGCATAGAAAATGCGTCTTTCTTACCGACATGAATCGTAGTTGTCACATTGCAGGCGCTGATGCGCTCTCTTCGGCGCTGGTCGCGAGACTGTTCGGTCGACGATTTGCCGCATTCCAGCTACTGGAGGTCTCCAAAACTACCGCTGTGTATCCCGTCTGCTCACAGGTCGCCATGAATAGAAGCAATGCTTCACGTACAGCACGACACTCGATTCAGTGACCCCTGTTGTGACACCCACCGGCTACTCGCGAATGATGAGCGCCGAAGCTTGTAGAGCCCTTTTCAATTCATGACGTGTCCATGCAGCTCTCAGGCAATGCCCAGTCATACTTGCACACAAACAAACGCCCGAAACATCGGCCGACGTTTTGATTTGCTGGTTGCAGATGTGATTGGCGCTCAAGTCCTACTCAGTCTGCGTCAAACGCGGTACAAGCTGTGCATAGGAAAGCTGATGACAGGCAAGCCCAGGCATGGGTCGAAACGACTCTTGCTTTCGTAGTAGATGCAGCTGATCGAAGTGACGACAGACCTTTAAACGCGTGACGCTAACGGGCATGAAGTCGTGGCGACAGTCATTGCAACGGGATCGACTCTACGTTTGCAGAGGCAGCAGACTGCAAATCACGGAGCACCAACTTGCATGCGAAGTGCTCGGAATGTCACCACGGGATGACACGTCTCTTCTTTATTCAGCTCATTCGATCGATGTGTCCCTTCGTGTTGCTGGATCTTCGCTGTGGGTTCATTGCTCTTGACTCTTCGATAGATGAGACCCGCTTGGTCTACGCGGGCAAAGCCGACGTATCGCAACCCACAACCCACTTACCTGTTCGCACAAAGGTTTGGCATGTATTCGCGGGATGGGGCTACTCTGCTCCGTTGTATCGTTGTATGGTACTAGAGATGATTCTATCGTAGAATCCACGCGTCGCTGAAGCACTTTCAACGCTTGAGCAGCGCCGGCGAAAGGATCATTCTGCATTTCACCGTAAACAGCACAAGTCAAGCCTCCAAATTTTGTCAAGATGAACATCAAGACCATCCTCGCCACCGCTATCGTTGCTGTCGCCTCGATCTCAAGTCTCGCTGGAGCTGCCAGACCTTGCCCCCCGTCATGCAAACGAGGACCCATCAGGGGAAGTAATTCTTGCCGCGGCGGCATAGAGCCGATGGCGAATCCAGAGTGCTGCCAATGCGAGAGATAATCTGTTGTGTTCGTTTTCCGGCACTCGTTCACCAGGTCGTCGCAGGAAGTACCGTTCACGCATCACCATCCTCATCGCCATCATCCTGGTGGCCTCTCCACTAGCTTTCGACATAGTGTACTTCCACTGGTACGCCGCTGATTGTATCAATCATGGATTACTTAACTGAATGGAAAGAGGAGTCACTGCTTACCTTACGTCGTTGAGTGCCATTGCGTTCGTTGTCGATGTACCGCTTGCCATGTAGCCGTTCCTGTTCGAGCAGCTACTCTTCGCAAACATGCGTACCTCATGCACAGCCGAACTTGCCTTAGGGTAGATGGGCAACCAATTGACGGAGTATTATGCTTTACATCATTTTTACGTTTCATCTATTGATAATTTGATCTACAACTGCCAATTTTTTTCAGTTTTGGTTTTTTTTTGTTTTTAGGTTAATTTAATAAACCTTTATATTTGCCATGAAATGATTCTACTTGGGTTCATTACTTTCTGATTTAGAAAGAGGGGCAAGATCTCCGGAGCTCGCTCTTTAACATAAGTTAATCCGTCGATAAAAATGGGCTGACCGGGTACATCCGTGATTTATATAAACGGACGGGACGGGCGGTCGGGGAACAGTTCGTGCGTAGCAAGGTAAAGCAACGCCAACATTGCGAGAAGGCGAAAGTTCGGGAGCCCCATCTGCCGCCGAGCGAGGAGGATGATACTTACTTGACTTGACTACTTATTCGGTTCGCTAGTACTACAAATAACAACATCGTTATGTATGTCAATATTCTCAAAGTGCTGCATCGTTGTGGTCATCATGCGAGTATCAAGTCCTTCACAAAGACACCTCGAACGAAAACGTTTCAATCTGCTTTTAGTATGCCGCGAATCTCAATACCAAGCATAAAACTGAAGGGCACGACCCATTGCCCACGCGCCGAGACGAGATACTCTTGGTCTGCCTAGAGCAGGTGATCGCACGCGCGAGCGATATTCCGTTCAATGCAACCTGTAGCATCCGACATGTCATCACTGCCTTGTCGGTCGCATTCGTACTTCCTTCTCCCGCATCATGAAGTACGAAACTGGCAAGCAAGTCGCATCCCTCGTCGTTCCCTACTACCATTGCGTTCTCTTCCGAAGCAGAAGCTAGAATGAATCTCGGAAGTGCGCAATCTAATTCTGCTGCAGGTCGTTTGACCAAACGACAGCGTGCGTGGACGTTGTTGATATCTTCTGAGTAGCCGTCATACCTAATTTACTTAAATTGGGCATTTGCAGCTGCTGATTTGCGTGATGAACAAGGACTGAAAGTGCACACCGTTTTGTACTTTTGGGCAGTAGGTTGTGTGGCGGAAATAGCAACAATGCGGACGTTACGTAATCGCACTTGAGAGCATTGGTCGATGCAAGACGTCTTTGCTGTGATACAAACAGCAAATTGCGTAGTGGAAAGAGCGACTTCCAATCCGCAACGACCTCTTCCAACTGCACCATCAAAGGCCAACAAATACCACTGGATAGCCACAACGACAGAGCATCGATTACATCACATCACCTGCACCAAACCTTAAGAATCATAACCTTTCTGCATTTTCCAATCACCTTCTTTTCCTGATCTCGCTCTTCCGCTGTACTTGCTTTCCTTACTCTGCCGGTAGCGCACGCACTTGTTTCTTCCAAATCACAGCACACTCATCCAGGAAACTCTGCAGTGCCTCTCGCTCCACGCGCGCCATCTCGCGCTGTACCGAGAAGTCCATCGCAGTGCCGTCGTCCAGCTCGAGGTTACAAAAGACTGGCAGCTCATTCGAAAAAAAGACTCGCGCCTGTGTGGGCGCACAAGCCTTCTCTGCTGTCAAAGCAGTGAATTGCCGACCTTCTCGCTTCGTCTTTGTCACGCATTGCATTGGCACTTGCACACTCTTTTCGGCGCTCTTCACTTTCTTCACCCGCTTCAAGCGGCGCGCAGTTTCGTGCCAAGGCCCGTTGCTTTTCTCAACCCCCTTCCGTGCCACAATGGTGCGTTCCGAACTGACCTTGTTCCTAAAATCAACATTCGCTTTTCCTCTTGACGCTGGTCGCTCCGTATTATCCACCCTAGATACTTCCGCTCTATCACCAGTTTTTCTCGCTAAACCAGCAGACAACAACGTGACCTGATGATTATCCGGTATTTGACGTGGCACTGGCGGACACGTGCTTTCCTCGATGATGCCGAGCACGCCTTCAAACAGGCGCATGTCGCCATTCCAGCTTTTTACAGTATTGTCCTTCGTGCGAACTACAAAGGCAGCAGAGGGAAGCAGCGTGGACAATACAAAGCACGTGTCAGTCGACAAGATGAAAAAAAGTCGAGCCCTAGCTTTACGTACGGGCGTAACGACCGTGGGCCGTTATCGACATGACGTCAGTCCAGAGGTCGTGATTCTTGCTCCACCCAACAAAGTGCACCTTGATTTTCCGAGTAGCTACATTGCACTGAACGATACTAGCTTCTCCCCAGAGCATCTTCTTGTCCAGAGCATCGACGTAGTAGCCTACGCATTGAGCTGTATCCTTCTTCTTCTTCTTCTTCTTTTTTGTGGGATGTGAGCTTTCGTCGCGTCTTCGTTTCTTGACAGGGGGTGTATTCTCAGGAGTCCCGGCTACAGATACGATGGAAAAAGACTTCTCCAGCGCTACTACTGCCCCTTCGTCTCCGGCAACTATGGCAGGAGCAGAAGCGTCAGTATTCGGTGTCATGTGTACAGTAGTCTTGAGAGTAGGAGACGTGGGAACAGCAGGTACGAGAGTGGCGGCCATGACAAAGTCGGCCTTTATGCCAACTTGTTGCAAGTTATTGCTGGCGACATGGTCGATTAAGGGCGACCTGTTAAGAAGAATATTGTGCTTTCGGAGAGAAATCAGATGTTGGCGCAATACAAACAGACTGTCGTGTTGGAGCTGAGTGCGAAAGTCGAATACTGAATGCTATCTCTACTTTGCAGGAGGAGCCTCTTCCGCTGCAAATATCAGGATACGCGCGGCAACAGCGCCGCTATTGCCACCATCAAATGAAGCAGGCTGACCCAATAGAGCAAAGCGGTACTGCACGCGGACATTGTCGATGACCTGGCTGTTGATGTAGTCAGGCGACGTCCAACGCCGAGTCTGGTACTTACTGCGAACGTCAACTTGCAGCACCTCTTCAATGGCAGCGACGAGATTTTCCGGGGCACCGCGATAGTGCACCGACTTTTCTGAGAGCTTGTGAATTGTAGATTGCAGCGAGACTGAGTTCCACTCGATTCTAGACGACATCGAGCAGGTCAGACCACGATTCGATGCTGAGCAACGACAAAAAGATGACCAGTGCGTACGTACTCAATTGATGGCTGTGGAGTGGACACCCAGGCCGCCGCACGTGCATCAGGGAGGCTATCAAACGCTAGATCGTCGGGTCATTTGTCGCATGCAACACTGCCAATGGTATAGGTCAATTGCAGTCGGATCTCACCTGAAATATACGGCTTGATGTCCAATACCGGGGTCTCATCCAGTAAGTCGACGCCCGTCAGATACACCGTGCGCTCGCGAACATCGACGTGCTCGATATGTGCCAGCGTAATTCCGATGGGATTGGGGCGGTGCGGTGAGCGTGTACAAAAAATACCGACCCGTTCTTTTAGCATCGGTGGAGAAATTTTGGCCTGTCAACAATCGCAGATGAGACCCTGACTCCTCCCGCACTCTATCAGTATCATCCTAGCACTAGCTCGAACCCGGAATGTGTGGCGATGACTATCGGATCGAAGCCCTTCGTGCGCGCGAGAATTTCTTCCGTTCGTATTTTGGTGGAAGACGAACAAAATCCAAACGTGGCTGAAGTCCTTCAGCCCTACCAACGTATCGGGTGACACGCCTCGATAAAAAGTGATCTTTGCTCGCGTCGACGGGGCCAGGGAGCCTTGACGAGGTGTCCCTGTTCTCAGCAGCACCACGGAAGTTGTAAGCAACTGTCGCTCAACGCCGTTGCACGAATGGACGTCACGACAATCCTCGTTTACCCAAGCACACTTTGAAGCAAGATTGCACGGTTCCTACGGGCTGTACAAAACAGCCCTTGCTAGTGTCCAGCTTCTCCTCCATCACACATCGCAGCTCCTACCAGCGGTCCAGCCGTGCGTCAGTGCCTGCAGCTAGTAAGATGCAAGGACTCGAGCACAAGACATCCAACAACCTTCTCTGCAGCGACGCGGCCTCGTCTTTCATCGACTCGCGCTCGTTCTTTCTTTGCCACATCGCGTTTCAACGTCTGCAATGAGAAAAAAGGCAGTAAAAGCACGTGAACGCTTCACATGTGGTCCCTGCTGCAGCAATAACTGTACCTGAATGGTCTCCTTCTGTTGCGAATCTTCAGGTCGTTGCTGCTGCTGCCGCCACCAGAGCCACAACAGCGTCGTGGTCTGGAACGCGACCGCTAAGGTCTCTAGTCTCAAGCCAAACGGCATGAGAAAAAATCGTTGGCGAGAAAGTTGCAGCGACAGTTTAGTGGCTATTATTCCCGCATTTTGTCACAAGGCTCGGGATGGGTAAGTGCGACTTGGTACTGAAGTGTGCGGGAAAGATTGATAACGCATATGCATAGGTATGCCAAGATTTATAGTATACCGTCCACGCACGACAGGAATAGTAGGGACGATATCGTTGCCGCTTTCGACTAAACACATGCAAACGATCACGTCGATTTATGAAGATTTTGTCGAAGATACCGTACAAAGTCGCATCTAAGATGCGGTCGACTGAGTATCCGAGGTGGAATGATACAATCAAATGCGGTATTGTATAGGGAAAGATAAAAAATGCGCTAGATAATCGTTTATACAAAAATACACTGCACGATTAGACAATTAAAAATACGCACCAGAAAATAAAAAACAGGAAAAAGAACTATATGCTTAAAAGCTCAAAAATTGAGTTACATGATGAGAAATAAAATGTGCACCACGAGATGAAAAACTCTGAATTGTGCATGACAACGAAAAATATGCACGACTGATGTTAACTAGATGCGACCGAATTTACACAGGCATACGATCATCGATGTACATCCATGTATATATTGGGCAAGAAACATGCACATCGAAATTCGACGACTGTCGTAATGCAACAAGGTAAAGGTGCGTCGACGCGCCAAGAGTATCCTAACAGAATTATTTGTCGTGTATAGTGTATTGCCGCGTTGCTTATAATCTTCCACCCCGATTTTATGATTTGATATTGTGTACTCGTGTATCTATCGTCATGGCGAAGACATATGATTGGATGAAAGGAGAGATCGCCGTGTTTAAATGGCAAGTACACAATGGTCCGATAGTAGTTCGACGCACACTCCCGGAAGCATGAGACGACGTACAGAAAAGAAACATTACTTGAGACACGATTGTCTAGATCGGATGAACGACTCTGTTCATTTGCATGCGGTCACGCGGATGCTTGCGGACACATGTAAAAGATTGTAGACTGAAAAAACACGCAATGCTGATGGAATATTGCGATCATCAGATACAAGAGGTTTCATGGTGGTAATGCTGTCGGTCGTGATATCGGTGTCGAGTATAATTGCTGCGAAGGATAGGCGCAATATTGGTATAATGCATTGAAGAATACTATGCATGCAAGCGTAGCAGCCCGGTTCTTTTGGCTCACTGAATAAAAGACACCATATCATGATACTCCTTTATGCTCTATACTTGACAAAGTTGCTCTCCCTGCAGATAAATTACCTTTTTGTGGTTGCATCGTAAATTTCAGATAACCTGTGTCAACGGTACCGACATGTCATCAACTTTGATGATGTAAACCGACGTGATCAAGGTAGTAAAACACTGATCCATCGCCTTGAAATCGCCGAAAACAGCTCTTTTGTGTATTTAGCTTCAACGTTCTCACAATAGATAATTAAAAATATATTTGTACATGTAAACCTGCCTAATTGGATATGACCCGTGGAGGGCAAGCGTATCACATATATAACAAAAGCATCAAATTCGACATGTGCGAACACCCTCTAGGTATTATCAGCCCTCAAGAACATCAAATGAGCCCGTATGCGTGGTCAGCACCTAATCTCAGCACAATTTCTAATTCAAGCGACTCGACAATGAACTTGCCGGGCAATTAAGTATTGGCGATGCGTTGTGCATATGCATTGTAGATTAGATTTATATGCTTAACTTTTAGTTTGTGCGAATGTGTGTGACAACTGTGTGCACAATCTAAATCAGTGTTGTGTGTGACTCATTTCGTGTACGCGTGTGCTCAACCTGGTTGGTGTGGAAACACCATCCGAGAGGTCACCGATTTGAGAACCAGTTCGAGCAAAAGATTAAGTTAATCCTTCGGGCCCTGGTGTATAGGGTTCACCAGCACTGCTTGCCAGCAGTGATGCCCTACTTTCGGGATGATGACACCATCAAAATCGTAGGAAGGACTTTGCTGCTACAACCGTTGGCAGAACAAAACGAGCGAATAGCAAAATAAAAGCTCTTACAATAGGAGAATAGTAAGTAAACGAATAAATAACTTTTCGGTTTTCGAATTCGCCGTTCACGCAACGATGCCGTTTCGACCCAAACAGGTTGGTAACCTGTAGTATGAGCAGAAGAAGAAGATCTGCCACTGACATGACGCAAACGCCGCTCTTACACAGTCGCACCTGTAAGATAAGGCGAAGCGCGAGATCAGTCTCTTCAAGGCGCCAGACCAGGGAACGATATCCGGCATTCTGCGTGATCGTCAGAAGTTCATGCACGTGATGGACCTCGGCCTTAAGAGTAATCGGACCCGAGTGCTCGTGTTTCCTGCAGTCGATAAAGACCTTGCGAATTGGGTGCTGCAGTATCATGATGATAAGCGGGGACCTGATCAAGGCAAGAGCGAAGCGTTTTGCAACGTCGAGCGGTATTCAAGAAGACCAGTTGCTGTTATTTTCGAATAGGTGGCTTTTAGCTTTCCAAGGACTTCACAAATTTAAAAAAATTAGCATTCACGGTTAGAGCGGCCCTGTGAACTCGGAGAAGATACCCGCGCAGCGCGAGGCCATCCGAATACGTCTAAAAGTAGTTTCTCTTGCTGAAATCTACAATATGTACAAAACGGGGCTATTCTACTTACTTTCGCCCGATAAGACTATCGCCCAACGACAAGTGGAAGGATAGAAGAAGAGCAAGACTCGTGTGACGGTCGACCTGATGTTCAACGCTGACGGCTCGGACAAACGCGATCTCCTCATTATTGGTCAAGCGAAGAAGCCACGTTGTTTCCAGAAGAAGACAGCAAATTAACTTGGCTTCATCTATCGCAGTACCCTCAAGACGTGGATGGCCGGAGCCCTTTTCCAAGAGTGGCTTCATTATCTTGACAACAACATGCGCGCTCAAAAATAAACATCGTTCTCCTTCTCGACAATACATCGGCGCATACTGCTCATTATATGGATTTTAAGAACGTGAAAGTCGTGTTCCTTCGCCCAAACACGATCTCGAAGCAGCATACAATGGACGCCGGTATTATCGCCTCATCCAAGCGTCGATACCGGCATCGCCAGCTCGAGCACGCTTTGGATATGGAGGAACAAGGATTACGGACCAGTATCTACACGATGGACCAACTTACGGATATGAAGCAAATAAAATCCTGCTTGCGTATCGCTCCAAGCGATGCTGTTACAAACTGCTTTCGGCACACAGGGCTCGTTCCCGGCCAAAACACCACTCACAGATCATGCAATGACGCTGTTATACAATTAAACACCAGCATGCTAACACAAATGTGTCAGCTATGCATCCGTAACCCAATGAACCTAAACGACTTCATTTGCTTTACCTTTGAGGCCGACACGGAAATTGAAGCGCTAACTACCACAGCCCAGATCAGCAAAGAAGCGAGGTAGCTGGGATTATGCGCACGGCCCAAGAGAGCAGCGACTATAAATATTCGGAGTCGACAAGAGATGGTGTCACAAACATTCACACACAGATCAGCGCCAAGGGAAACGTTGACGGAGTTTGAGCCATCATTATAGTGCTTGGTGACAATCCAGATCTATAGAGACTTGTCATGGAAGGGATACGTACATTACAGCATCGATTGAGCGAGAAGCTGAAGGTGGAAAGGAAAATTTACTTACGCAGACGCTAATTCGTGGATACTTTTATGCGGCACCAGCCGTGCTACCGTAAATCGACAAGACGATTATCAAGCGATCTTGGCAGTACGCTTAAGGTTCTCTACTGTTGAACGCATCCACCTTTTTTACATTTCGATCCGTTCCCGATAGTATACATTTGTGAAATGCACGAAGGCTTAATTTCGATCTTAGGTCAGTTCCGTGTAACGGTCGTGCCCCGTCAGTGACCCAAATTTCGGACCAAGATTATCAAATTAGACGAGATCATTCATCAACTATCAAATTTGCCCATTATCAAGATTACCCTACACATCGATATAGGAACGAAATCGGTGGGTCTAATATTTATCGTATATAGCAATATATCATGTTTAGTAGGGATCAGATTGGCCAGGTTTATCTCGGGCTAGGCAAATCGAAGATTCGTCGAACATTGAGGACCCTTTAACTTATTTGACTCGAACGTTTGACGGCATCGAATATTCGGCTCGAAGATTGTAAGCGGCTCGAAAATTCGCCTCAAATTATTATAGGCCAATATATTATAGCAGGTATTTAGATAGGGAGATAGCCAGTTTATATTTAGAATTGTTGAATCGGAAATAATTCGAACCTATTAGAGAACCAATATTTGTCATTTAAGCAATACCGCTGAATTCATTAATGCATATATTGTACTTAGCGAATACAACCCCCTCCCCTTTGTGTATAACGTCCAAAACGTAACAATGAGCTCGGCCGCCGCCGCAGCCTCAAGCTCGAGTACCACCACCACATCATTAGGCTCTACTGCCGCCTTATCCCCCTAATGACAATTCCTGATGATGATGCTCAAACTCTGACCAGTTCAGAATCAGCGACCGTGGTGATAATAGTGAAAGTTGCTGGTCAGTTTGATTGGGACAAAGACGCCTGCTTAGCCAAATGCGTCCATTGCAATAGAACTTACAAGGGGAAGAAGACTACAAAAACTAATCTGACCAAGCACATAAAAGACAAACATCAGACCAAGCTGGTGATACCTCTCCACGACTCGCAACGACGCCCAGGAGGTAAAGCGACCCGAGTTCTGCAATCGCTTGGAGTCGATATCAAGATCAGTTTGAGGCGGCACTTCCGGAATTTTTGTATCTAACTGATCAGCTATTTGCCATGATCGACAGTTTAAATTTTGTAAAAAATTTGGTGAAAATACTGAATAGCCGCGCGAACATTTATTCAACAACACCGTTAGACCCGCCGTGTCAAGGCCACGTTTATAGAAAAACGGAAGAAAATCGCCTAATTTCTCGCGAAACCTGAATCGAAGCTATCGGTTAC